AAAACTCCATTATTCATAAATGTAAGTTGCCATTAATGGAACATGAGAGGAGTAACTTACTTTGATATATAATAGAACATATTCAGCATTTAGAATTGGTCAAATCAAATGATATTGACAAAAACATGCTGGCATTAAAGTTTACTGTATTTTTTCATAATTCCAATTGCCGTTTTTTAAAGACTTGTAGTTACTTATTTTTTGTAATTTTCTTATATCAGCCTGATTACTAGTAATCTGTTCCTACCCAACCCTTACAGTGGTGGAAGATGTAATTCTTGAAGTGACAGATGACGAGGTCAGTCCTGACAGCGTTTCAGAGCGAGGTATGTTTCATGATAAAATCTATTGTGATCAATGCTTAGGTTTGTTTCTGCTTAACAAATATGGTCAAGGTGAGACCCCTTTATGTCCCTGACTGTCTGACTATTGTCACAAAAATAACATTTAAGCAAAAGACGGGCATCGAATTGCAAGAAGATTTTGAAAATGTGGGTTTGGTTGTGATTTTCCCATGCTTGTTACTAGGGCTAGCTGGTATATTGAGTATGTTTGTCATAATTCAGTATGAACTAATATGCAATATAGCAGATTACCGTATTCGAGTCATATTCAAGTTTTCACTGTTTTCACTGGTTGCTGCTGAGGGCCTGATTCGTAACCTCACGATACAGTCAAACACTCGTATCATTTACCTCTAGTGTTGTTTACTTGATTGGTGACACTCACTGCTCAGCCATGACCAATAAACTAATTACCAGCACTTTAAATTAAATACGAGACAGACCAAAGGAAATCTTCATGACCTTTTACCGCTGGGAGGATTTGTCAACTGGCAGACATCCATTCTAACAGGAGAGCACGACATTTGTCACAATATTGAAATTTCAGACAACTTTGTCATTTAAACGAAATGTTTATTTTGCCGTGTGACATCACAAAGAAGAAACCAGAAATGGACCACTCTTATCTTTTGCAGATACAAACCAAATACCAGCTTTTTCTTATCATGCAATTAGACAAACCCCTCCCTGTGCTTTCCTCAGTCAGCCCTCGTATTTCACCACATTAACAACGTAACAGCATGCAGTCAAAGAGAACCAAGCACACATCACACGCCCTGCGTCACTACTCCACTGTGTTGACCAATCTTTTGTTGTTAAGTGTGAAAATAGATCCAGCTGCTGTGTTTTCATTTGGCTGTTATTTTGTGCTTTAAAAAGAACATTCCATCTTTGGCGTGTTCTCCATCCTCTAATCTGAAATCGGGTCACTATGCTGACTGTCACACGTGACTTTTGCATTTTTATAGTTATAGATTTGTGAAGAAGAAAAAACTCTCTTGAAGCTTGCGACTTTAAACCAGCTCTCTTTGGCATCTTATGAGGCTTATCTTAAACTGGACTGACATGTCTCATAAAGTGCTTTGTCAAAACCACCTGCAGAATGTTCTGCACATGAATAAAAACATGCTTTTATTTGATGTCACAGAGCAGAGCAACCCCACGCAGGATCCAGTGGTCTGGTGGCTGGATGGTCGGTAACACCACTGCTGTGATGTAGTTCAGGTCTGTGCGTCTTGGTTTCTTGTAAATGGGGCAGACGTAAAGCTTGGGATCCACAGGGTCAGTGGAGTTGACAGCAAACATGTGGATGACAGGCATGGGTGTGAACAGCTTTTTTGGTGAGGACTCCATGAGATGGATGTTCTTCCTGTTCCAGCCGGCGCCGTCCAGGAACAAACCATAGACATAAACTCCCTCCTGTTAAGGAAAAGTGGTTGGTGACAGAAACATTATATTTCTGTGCCTTCCTTAAAGAAAAAACATCGATTGTTTCATCATCTCACATTCAGTGTGAGCACAACGCTGCTGTTCGACTCACTGTTGGTGAGGCTGTGATGTCCTCCTGCGTCTGCTTCAGCACTTTGTTGTTCAGCGTGACTGTGTCCAGAGCCCAGCCTTTGTTTGCTCGAGTTACTTCTTGTCTCATAGCTGTTAAAAACCCTGCAAACATCCATGTGGGAAATGTATAAGTCTGATGCAGTTCATCCTCAACCAGGCTCATTTCATTTCACTGATTTCAGCCTCGTCGGTCCTCTGTCCTCCTGCCCGTGATCCACAAATCAATCTTGGTGCATCATAAAAAAGGACATCTCAAGTCTTACAATGCATGTCGAGGAAAGAGAACCAGGGATGAAGGAGGCTTGCTGCAGGAGCATGCACAGGTGCTGTGTCGGCAGCAGGACGAACAAATGTGTGTACATGATATACACATCACTCAGTGTTCATATAGAACTATTTTGTGTTCCCATCTGTCTTACACTCCACTCTGCACGTGTGTGTTAAATAAACAATTCAAATGTATGACGTCTGTACATTTCTGTCACATTCTGCCGTGCTGTGACTTAAATTATTAGTGAATATATGTATAGCAAGTTATCATGAACACTGTTCTGCTCGTATGACAGAGATTATAAGACGACACAGTGGGAGGTAATAATAAAACCACAGACAGGGCAGCTGTCTACACGGTATATTGAAGCAACTTCGCTTTAAACTGACGGCCCTGAGGTGAGGATGTCTCACTTTGTTGAAAACTTGTTGCCTTGACTCCTCTCTCTTCCCTCCTCTGCTCCAGTCTCTGGTGGGAGGGGCTAAGACACGAGGAGAGGAGTCAAGGAAGGCAATCGAGGATGTTCAGTTTGTGAAATTAGATGAGAGGGTGACATCTGCTGGAGGTCTTCATTTTAGCACGGGGTGTCCAATCCTGGTCCTCGAGGGCCACAGTCCTGCATGTTTTAGATGCTTCCCTCTTCCAACACACCTGATTCAAATGATCAGGATCGTGATCAGGCTTCTACAGAGCTTGATGATGAGCTGATCATATGAATCAGGTGTGTTGGAAGAGGAAAACATCTAAAACATGCTGGATAGGGGCTCTCGAGGACCAGGATTGGGCACCCCTGTTTTAGCACATTTGATCCCTGACACACAAAACACACCTCCATCACTTGGGATGAGTCTACTGGGATTTAAGCTCAAGTGACTTAAAGTTGGAATGTACATGGAACATGGAAATAAAATAAAAGTCTGTTATATTCAAGCCCAAATGTGTTCAAACAATGCTGGTTAAGCCTATCGGCGCCCGGTGAATCTCTCTCACTCAGGGTGAAGGCAGGTTCACCTGGACAGGTCACCAGTCTATCACAGGGCTACACTTAGAGACAGACAACCAAGCACACTCACATTCACACCTACGGACAATTTAGAATCACCAATTAACCTCAACATGTTTCTGGACTGTGGGAGGAAGCCGGAGAACCCGGAGAGAACCCACGCTGCACGGGGAGAACATGGAGGCTGCACGCAGAAAGACCCCGGTGCCCCCACCGGGCCGTGAACCGGCAGCCTTCTTGCTGCGAGGTGCTAACCACCGTTCCACCTTGCAGCCCCTTTTACTGCACAGTATCTAAATTTTAAATCTGGTTTCATTGACAACATTCCTGCACTTGCACTCTGGTAGCAGCAATGGCTGACTTGCCAGAACTGAAAAAGGGAAGCAAGCATCGTAATAGACTGAGTGAGTGTGATAGGACCTACGCTGGAAAACACATTTGTGTTGCAGACATTACACAAAACTTGATATTTAGCTGATTACAGTCTAAAACGTGAAAGCAACACATATATCATGATCATTTGTGTAGTTACTCTTTCTGCCAGGAGGGGGCAGACAAACGTTTGATGCTGCAGGTGACACCTCCAGTCCAGTGTGTCTTCCTTGGTGTAAAATAGTCTTAAAATGCCTTATTCTACAAAAACTCGTGACTCACCCTGTGGGTTAAAGAAGCCCGTCATCCAAAAGGTTTTGGGTCTTCCTCCAAACACCCAACTGTAAAACTGTTTGTTTCTCTCCAGCAGCTCAGTAAACCAAAAACCCAGAGTAGAAGACTCCCAGGAGATTCTCCTCCACAAGTTTGGCACACGGGCATCAAAAATGTTGTCCAGGGCATCACGGAGGTTCTAGGAGCAAAGTAAAAATCAGTAGCTTCACAGTATTTCAGGAAAATCTGATTTTACAAGATGGTTTGATCAGAATATTTTCAGATTGAAATTAAATGTTACAATTTCAGCATAATTGTGAGAAAAACTGTTGAACTGAATTACAGGCAGGTACTGTAGCATTTTAGGAGGCAAACATGACCGTGTGAGTAACTGATGGATCAGTGATCTGACCTCGCTCATTATGATAGTGCCATCAATGGCCAGCTTCAGGTCAGTCAGACTAGTGCGCACCACACTGATGACCCTTTGCATTCGATCCACCTCCTGACCCAGGAAGACGTTCATTGGGTTCAGAGCGCCCATCTTCAACAGCCTGGCTTTGACCTTGAACCCATCAAAGCTGCCAAGTTTAGATTTTGATGGATGCAAACATTGGTGACTCATGTTGCGATGATCAAACTGACCTCATGTGGCACATAATCAGGAGGCAGCTTCTCCAACATGTCCTCTGCTATGCTGTAAACAATGGACTCCCGAGTAGCTCCTGACCCTCCTCCACTTTCTTTGGGCTGAATATTTGTGATTATGTCTAACGCTTCAGCAGATGTATTTGTCTGATACCTAATCAACGCTCAATACAAAGCAGAAAGTCAACGTGAGCAACACCATCAGTGTAAGCACAGTATTTATATCATTACCAAACTGAATGCTTCATAATGATCACAGTCTATTCTTACGTAATGTCAGCATTAGGATGCAGCCCCAGTGCTTGGGGAGAGTCCACAATGGGCAGGTTCTGAATATACTCCATGTACTCCTCCACTGTCTTGCACACAGGAATTTTGTAGCCCGTGTAAAAGCAGAACGACGGATCAAACATTTTCTTGCTGAACCACACCTGCAATGAAAAGCATCCAATCTCATGTTGTGTCACAATAAATACTAATTTTCACAGTGTCACACACAAACAAAGACAAAATAGCAATGATTACGCGAGCAAAACACTTCAGCAGGCGTTTGTCGTAGTCATCTGTAACCCTTCCTCCATATTGCACCTCAGCTAGCATGTAGCGCACAGTCACCCATGACACGTCCTGGGGAGAAAACGTACAAACTGGTCAGTCAGGCAATGACAAGTACATTTTATACCAGTCTTGCTAAATCCTCACCATTCTGGGGCCACGGTCATCCAAGTGCTGTTCAACAAACTCAACACTTGAAGTGAAATCAGCAGAGTTGAACTCATAAGGGATGTTCCAACCCAATGGGCCAAATTTGCGTCGTTCCTTAAAAAGGCAGCAATAAAAAAAAAAAGACTACATGTAAAATCACATCAGGGAGAATCAAATAATAATATAGAACAACACTCTGCTTATCAGGACTGTCTTGGAAAGAAACTCAGGAACGTAAGATAACTTTGTGATGATTAAGTTGTTTAGTTTAGATGTGCTGTTGTGAACAAATAAGCACACCTTGCCACTGATGACTTAATTATGAACGGCTATAGTGAAAACAAACTTGTTTGTAAGTTCTTAGGTTATCATTTATTCATATCCTAATCATCCATCCATCCATCATCTCTACACCTTAATCCTCACTAGGGTCATGGGGGGCTGGAGTCTATCCCAGCTGACTCAGGGTGAAGGCTGGTTCACCTGGACAGGTCACCAGTCTATCACAGGGCCACACTTAGAGACAGACAACCAAGCACACTCACATTCACACCTACGGACAATTTAGAATCACCAATTAACCTCAACATGTTTCTGGACTGTGGGAGGAAGCCGGAGAACCTGGAGAGAACCCACGCTGCAGGGGGAGAACATGGAGACTCCACGCAGAAAGATCCCGGGTGTCCTCACCGGGACGTGAACCGGCGACCTTCTAGCTGCGAGACAACGGTGCTAATCACGGCTCCACCTAATCATCTACTTAAAGGTTTATTCACTTTTAGAGAAATTAAATGCAGATGTGTTTTGGATCAAAGCTCACCACTGCTTTCAGTATTGGGATGTGTGTGTTCCATAAGTAGGGTCAAAAATAGAGAACTCAAGGCCTTAAAAGCTCATTTGCTGCATGTCCTTCCCCCGCTCTTATCCCCTTGATTCACTGTCCTATCCAGTAAAAGCAACAAAAAAAAAAGCCTGAAAAATAATCTTAAAAAAAAAAAAGCACGTTAAAGCGTTTTCCTGTCACACTATACATAAGCTGTCCCTCTTGGACGTCTCTTTGAAAGAGATGCTGGACAAATTCTGCCTTTATCTGCAATGCACTGGCATACATTTACCAACAAACAGCAACGTGTTGTATTTGTCAGGAGTCAGAGCAATATTTCCAAGACACTATCAGATGAAGTAGGCCATCACAACAAGAGAAGAATAAATACACCAGATGATCATATGAATCACTCTGAGACTTCAACACCAAACTACAAACTATTTTTATCCACCACCATGTCTAATATCCTTATATTCACTATTTTTAATAAGGAATTGTGTTAAATGTAAATTCTAGTGTTAAATTTCACTTTTGTAGGTCAAGTATTTGCTGTTTGCACAACATGTGTTGTAGTTACCATAAAATGACATGACTTAAGTTCTAATTCATTGAGTAAACTCCAAATAATAACGAAAATGGAGGATTATCAAATTTAGTAGGGTTATCTCAGACTTCCTTTCTATATTTTACTCTGTTCCTGATCGGAATTGTGAAAGCTCCTCAGTACCTGCACAGCACTGTGGAGAAAGGCCACGCTGTAGAGCAAAGGCTTCCACGAGGGCAGGTTTCTGACTTCTAGCCGGCTCTGTGAAATTCCTGCAAATGTCCGTTTCAGTCCCGCTCGTATTCCCTGGGGTGGATCGTTGGTAAATTTGATTGAAGACTAGAGGTAGAGAGGTAAGAGACGTTCAGATGTGAGCTTGCACATGTTCTGCAGAGGTTAGGTCAGGATGCAAAGCAACACGTGAAGTAACACATTTTAACAACTTGCTGTACATAAAGCGTTGTAAAGTGTCACCTGTAGGAGTGTGATAGAAAACTGATGGTGTGGTTCTGTGGTGATCCACACTCTGAACGCATCATGAATGGCCTCTGCAGTTGTGATTGTTTCCAGAAGCTCGTCCATAAACTCCAAGCCCAGATGACAATTCTGTAGAAGGACCCAACCTCCCTGCACATATCGAGATACAGAGACCATACATCAGAGGAAATAATCAGCCAATTCATCTGGCTGGCTAAAGAACTCGGGGCTATATTTCTACTTTCATTTAAGAGTGACGTCCATCAATTTGAGTGCATGTTTTCTTTCCATGTAAGTCAGCTTGTGTGCCAGAAAGTAATTGCCATTTAAGATATTTGAAGTAGAGCACTTGTAAACTGCATGATTTATAAATTCATTACACGTACGCACACTCCCCCCCCATCTTCTCCACTTACTGCCACAAATGTTTTGAGCAAACCTGCACACGAACTGGAACTATCGGAGTGTGAGGGCAGAGTTTTGAAAGTAAGCATTAAAATATATGAATGCAAAAACCTGCAGAAATCATGCTCTCGCATTAAAGGAACATGCTCTTGAGTAAATATATCCGTGTACTCCTATATAAAACCACACATTTGTGCAACCTGCTGTTTCATTAACTTATGTTAACACCTGTGTCATTGATGTCTGAACAAGCTTCCTTGCGTGGACCTCTTGCCCTTGTCCCATGGATATTGCTCTGCATTCTATTAGACAAAACAATGGAATGACATGACGTCTTCAGAGTTAAGACAAGACACTAAAAATTGCAAAGTTAACAGGGAGCCAAATTCACCAAGGTTAAGCTTCTTAGCTAAGGCTTCAATTTGCTGAGTGGGATCCGAGCCCATAGAGAGGAAGCAGATTAGAGGGGTGCGAGGGTCACTTTCTGCCCATGTGTTGTGAAGGTTCAGGATGACAGGCTCAGCAAACCTCATGCCCATAGAATCGGCCACATACTTTCTGGCCTGAGATAAAGTACGGTCAGGGCACCAAGATCTGTGTAGGAAAAGGCTCGTAAGATTATTGCGTTATATAATATTGCATGTTTGAACACATACGCTATATCTCATCAGCAGGATCTAACCTTATCAACAAAAGTTTATGAAAGACATCGAGAGAGTTGTATCCATCTGGAATGACACCTTCTTCCGGTGCATCAAGACTGAGCCATGCTTTCCAGTGTTTTCCGCTTTGAAACACCTACAAAACATGCCAGTAGCAACGCTGTATAAGTATACGTTATTAGAGAATTCAGATGTATGATTCACAAAACTTCAGCTCACCTGGTCTACAATGTTATTGAACTGTGGCAATTTGTTGAGTTCCACCAGGTTTAGCCATACCATATCTGGGATCCAACCAAATGGCTTTTGGGGGCAGGCCTTCAGGTCAAGAGCTGCACCACCTATTTGTATAATCAAAAAACTTATCATGTTTCAACAGAACAAAAAGGCACATTCAATATTCCTGCCACTGATGATAACTTTACCTTTAATAAGAATCTGAAATTTGTTGTGCCCTATTTTGTTACTCTGTAAGTCAATCTTGAGCGCCAGCAGGAGTGTGAAGATGAACTTGTGGTTTTCATACAGGCCTCTGACTGTGTATCGGAACACCTCAAACGTCAGATAGTCAATGATGTTCGCAATTCGTTCCTGAGTTTTAGGAGACTTTTCAGATCTGTGAAAACACATTCATGATAATAATAGCAAACAGTGAGGTGTCCCACATACAGAAAGTGCAACTTTGTGTCCTGAGATGGTAAAAGGACAAGGTGAAGGCCACAGATAGGTTATAGTCTTATTCTCGCTCTGTAGACAAATTTGCAGGTAATTAGAGTAAGCCAGTAAGGTACAAATGCTACTATGGCCCCATGTGTCATTCTTAAAACCAGCACCACTATTGTGCAGATATACAGTATTTCTTCAGCAAGTTCTGATGAAAGCATACCTTTCCAGTGACAGATCGAATATTTTGCAGAACTGACTCAGAGAAGTCTGGTACATGACATTGACCATGCTCATCTCCGTGATAAGGAAGTAAAGGATGCTGCCTCGAGAGGCAACGGGACGATATTCCGCTGCAGCAAGACTGATCTTCACCTTCGCGTCTGCTGCAACACTGAGCTTTGCACTAACTTCTGCAGCAGTTTGCTTTGTTGTACTCAGAATGCCAATCATGGAGTCATCATCAACCAAGGAACCTTCAATCACAAAAACAGAACCACTTTTAAAATGAAATTATATTTGAAAAAAAAAAAAACACCTACCAGCTTTGAAGAAATTAGTATGGGCCAAAAGCAAACACTGTAGTACCTTTTGTGCTGCTGAGTTTGTACAGCAAATTTTCTTCCAGCTCTTGCATCTTTCTCTTATTGTCCGTTACCTCCTCGATTAGCTTCAGTCTTTCTGCCTCTAGTTCCTGTTTAAAGAAGTGAAATAATTCAGTGTAAAATTCATGTGCGACCCAAGGGACCATCAATATTTCAAGCTACATACTGTAATAACAAAGCCCCCAAAACTCTCATTGTTAATACAACTGTTGTCAGAATTCTTTTTTTTTTTTTTACCACTGATTGAGGTCAATGTTTGGGAAGACTGTTTTACACATGAAAAAAATAGACACTGACATGTTTCTCTTTGAGGATGACACGACCAAGAAGCTGGTCCTCCAATCCGGTCATGTTCACAGTGAAATCAATGATCGACGTCTTGGCGCTGACTTCTGGGCTATATGCTGGATTAGACAGCGTGGTGGTGATATAGAGCTGGAAGCCATCCATTACGTTTACCTCTTTGTCTCCAACTTTAACCTAAATCAGACAAATCCAAGAACTTAGTAAGTACACATTTTAACAGCGTATTGTTGAATTCAAATGGTTATGACAGCGATGACCTTAAAACTGGTTCCAGATTTGATGAAGTTTTTCTCCAGGACATTGTCAAGGGCTGGATCCAGCTCCTCACATATATCTTCAATAAGCAGGGGGCGTCCCAAGGAAAGACAGTCTTCCAAGTGAGTACGAAAGAACTTGTGATTGAGAGATGTGACCTGAATGAGAGATCACAGGTAACTTCCATAACATGCATCACAAACAACAACTAAGCTTGGTGAAGATGGCACGACTTATTTGCATTTGACACTGTACTTGAAGTGCATTTTCGTTTTCTTTTTTCTTAATCCAAGCCTTTCCCTGAATCTGGGGGTCAATCAGGAGGGGATATCTTGTGGCTTTGGTAACGATGATGCCATTCTGCACCGACAAGTCATCTGTAGGAAGTCCTTGAAGGTTCCACATACTTATCTTGATTAGAAACAGGATAACACAATATTTAATTATTTATTGTGCTGCTAGTAGTGACATAAAATTTAGATGAGGTTTGTATTGTTCTTACAGTGGGAGGGTCCACGAGGGAAGAAATGATGTTGAGCTTTTCTGTAAAAGGGATTTTTTTGCTCCTGAGCTCTGCCTCCCAGATGTCCTTCAACAACAGGTCACGGAAACTCTGGTTGAAAGGCCCACAGTAGGACAAGAAGCCAGTGAGCTGGAGCACATCACCTACAAGTCTGCCAAGACGAGCAAAAACAATTAGACTCATTGAAATATTATCATGTATATTACATTTCACATCTGTCCTGAAAGAGTCAGACCTTAATAATATACATTCCTCCTAAACTCTGAGCATGCTATTTTTGAAATACAGTTTTCTTTGTAACTTGCCTGTTTATCTGCCATTTAAATTCTTTACTTTGTTCTGTCCAGCGAATTTTCTCTCCACTTAGTCCATCAATAAGTGTAGATGCAGCCTGCATTTTATTCTTACACATTTCAGCATCATCCAACAAGTCCTGAAAACAGAATAGATTAAGTGATCTACGATGTCTACATGAAGATAAATACAGCGTTAAAACTTAGGATGTCCCAATGGTTGGCTGAAGCAGTTTTTAACTGATTGGTACCACCATGAGCCCGATCACACATGTTCGCTGACCATTAAGTGTCACGAAAACTTTGTCACTCTCACAATTAACTCAGCTTGCCAACATGGCCAACAAGTGCTCACCTCCTTTGGTATGAAACAGGAAGAGGTCGCAACTAGTGGCGCAACCAGGTATCAGTTTGGGACTCATTATTGGTATTAACACAAAATAATAAATGACTCAGAGCAAAAAAAATAAATCACTGGGACATCCCTAATTGAAAGTTGTCATAAGGGTGAATCACACCTGTTTCTCTTTCATAGCAGCATCACATTTGGCCTTCACTTCATCAAACTCTGCTTGCTTTTCAGCCAGCTGAGCCTCAGCCTTGGATAACTCCTCATTAGCCCCTCTTAGCCGGTTTTCTTGAATGACTAGATTAGCCTGGACACATACAAAAGACACTAAGGTTCAGAAAACCACATCGGGTACAACAGATGTCCAAAAAATTGTAAGCATTTTCTTTATCATGAAGACACTGCCTTTAGTTGTATATTTGTCTATCTGTCCAGTTTTTAAAATAATGCAACACACAAAGACAGGATTCCTAAACTATTCACCCAAAATGGATGTAAAAACTCCTAAACAGACTGAAAGCACAAAGGTTTATATTGCAATGTTAAAGTAGAACAGTCACTTATTCCTGCAAAAAATATGAACTTGTCATGACGAACATCAACTTTACCTTGAGTGGCAGGACTTCTTTGTTAATGCCAAAGAATACGGCCATAGCCCGGGTCCATGCTAGCAAACCAGCAACATTACCACACACTTTCTTGGCGTTTTCCATTGTGTAATCCTCCATGTCAAAGTAGACCTGCAGCAGTTCTACTACTTCTTCATTTATTTTATCTTTTTGGAACTGCTGAAGAGATGTCATGAAACCAGCACCACTCATAAGCTAAAGATGGGAGGAAAGCAAGAAGGAGCTATAAATAACTTAACTCTTGTTTTGAAATCTGAGATTCTGGAGAAAGATTATTATGTAGCTGGATTGCATGTGTCACATTCACCCTCCCTCTCCCCATCTTGCACACAAGCTTAAATTGTGTTGTGTGGATCAATCTGAGTCACATTGTTTGTCACATTTACAAATCCAAGACTGTACACAATCACATCACACACAAAACAGCTGACTATTTGAGATTTGACAAAAAACACATTTGTTTACAACTGTTGGTTTCACACTATTGTTAACTGTAACACATGTGCACACTGAAACTGATATACAGACATCATGTATCTCTATATGGAGTCACAGAAAGTCCTCATGAAGTAAAGGCTGTGAGAAACTTCAGAGAAAAGATCTCGTTACCTTCCCTGCTTCTCCCCATGATGGCTTGAGACAGTTCCGTTCCCGATCAATAGAGACAGAATCTAACTTCTTTTGAAACAAAAGCAAGCAGCAGTCCATAATCCTCATGATCAAATGTGGAGGCTTGGATAGTTTTCTCACAGTGGCAATGTCAGATGGCTTGATGGTCTGTAGAATTATTTTAACATCATAAAAATATATATAATGCAGTACAGTATACAGTATATGGTATAAATACACAAAGATATTCAAAAAAAGTGACAGAGATCCTACATTCAGTGCAGCTTTAGCCTCTTCTAAAGCTGGCTTTGCAGCCTCCAGTTTTTCCTCTGCAACAGCTTTCTCTTTCTCAATGCCACACACAAGTTTCTGGGCTTTATCCTTCACAACCTGGACCTCATTCTTCACAACTGTAGCAGCTTCAGCACTGACTGTCACTTCTGCCACCACCTATGTAAATGCAAAAACAAATGTGGCATGTGGGATGTGCAACATAAGTGCCAGTAAGCGCTGACTTTTCAGCCACGTGCTTTACAGACACATTCATGTTCTTATTCTGGTGGGTTTTTTTTGCCTTATGACCAATATGTGTCACACTTGCCACAACATTTTATGATTTTATGTTCACAGTGTAAATTCTGTTTGGAGAAATGTTACACAGACAGCCCATCTACCATCCCATACACATACAGTTCACATTCCTATTTTTTGCAGGGTGACTGGAGGCTGTGTCCTTTACCTTGTCAGCTTTGGCAGATGCTATCTCAAGCTCTTTTTCCTTGACTTTAAGATCTTTCGATAGTTGGTCCACAGACTGACTAGCCTCCATCAGTTTGTCCAACCCTGGAGATCAGTAACATCTTGTAAAACCCTTCACCTGACTAGACCTTGCAGAGTTGTGCATACATGTCCTCTTAATAGCATGTCATTGTCTTGCTGTTCAACTTCCTTACCAACGTTCATGCGCTCTGCCATTGTGTTGATGTAGTTGTACTTTTCAGTGTACAACGTTTTGTAACCGTTGATAAACGCGAGGTACGATTTAGGAGTGACGTAAGTTCTTCTTCGGAACCTGAAAGACAAAACAGCTTGCAACTCGTTCATTCATGTAGAAAACTGCATGTTTCTGACCTGAAAATGTAAGAATAGATTTTTTAAAACAAGAGTTAAAGGTGATTTGTGTGTCATACCTTTCAAAGTAGCTGTCACATGTCTGAGATACTTTGCTATGATATGTTCCCATGGCAGTCACCACAGATGCTTTTACTTTAGCAGAGCAAACGATATTAAATTCAGACAAGAAACAGTTGGACACAGCCACCAGAGCCTCAGTGGGCCAAGGGGTGAACCAGTCCATTGTGCAGCCAGAAATTAGCCCGGGAAACTTCAGAGCTCTGGAGCGAAACTTCTGCCCCAGCTATCAAGGAGAGCAGACAAAATATAATGGTTATGAGAATGTCCACTTATGCAGAGGTAGCTTAGTGTACGTGCAATGAAACAGTAAAAATGACAACGGAAACAATACATAAATAAATAAAGAGGAAGAAAACACACAATGAAACCAACTTTCAGTTCACTGCTTTTGCGTAACGAATATCCAAAGTTTTAACTTACCGGCGACAAGCAAAGAACAACATGCAGATTCTTTCTTGACCGGGATATGAAGTAATCATAAAGGTTGTCAAAAGTAGGTGGAATGCGAGGACACTCCTTTTTCATTGCTGGGATCAGGTTTTGGGTTATCTCTTGTATTTCATCTTTAGCAAACAGATTGGAGACCTGCACACAATTCACTGACAGTCAGGGACTGCAAAGGCTTTTAATTTAAGATCTAAACTTCTGTCTGACCTCTGTTTCTGTTACATAGGGATTATTTCAGGATGTTTAAATTAATATAAATTTGACAGTTCTCAACTGCACTATGTAAGTGCAGACTTGGTTGGTTTGGGAAACCAACTGGGTCTTTAAAGGTATCAAAGATGTTTTATCTTTAAAAGTCCTCACCTCTCCAGAAGAAAGAACATTGTTGAGGTACTCAAGGAAGGCCTCATCCTTGATCTCATTGTCAGTAAAGATGAAGGTGATGCCTTTTCCCTCTGCCCCAGCTGTTTTATACAACAACTTCAGGTCATCCATGAAATTACTCATGTTGTATGTTCTGATAAGAAAACAAATATTAGTTTAAAATAAAAAACCTAAAACTGTCACTTACACTATGACTACTGTGAAACAATTAGAATCATCTGGTTCTAACGTACAAACAGCGCATGGCTTCATGGGGGACTCATTCCTTTGTTTTGAAAAGCCAGTCCTGTGCTTCTCTGTGTGTCTTAAATGACAAGCACCCTGATATTAATGTATTAGGAGTGTGTCACCATCAATCAAGGCCTTCAATGATTAATCTTTTTTTCATTGTTATCAAGCACAAAAAACAGGCGCACTAGCTTGATTAACTGTTACTCTTCATCATCCCTGTGGGATGACTAAACTATTTCACCAGTCATCCAAATGTCAGTGGGGAAAAAGTGAATCCGTACGGGTTAATAACAGGTTATTGGCATTTGGTTATTCTGCAACATAAAATGTTTCAAAATACAACTTTACCTGTAAACACCACAGTTAACCAAAATTAGGCAAGATGCTCATATCATGTTGGTCAGTTTAATTAAATAAATTATATTGTTCTATAATGTATGTATACTACGTTCCACCCTCTTGTTTTTTCACTAATGTCTACGGCAGTTCTCTGTTTTTTCTATCCTTACCTGGTCAGTGTGATCTGGAAGATGCTGTATCCAGCGATGTATGAGGCTAGGCGGGTCAGGCTCTGTTTCCCTGATCCTCCCACTCCCACAAGCAGAGCATTTCCATTGTCAGTTCGAATGATTCGTGAGATCTAAAGCAAGGCAAATCTCAATAAAAAAACATGACCTATAGCTGACTCTAAAAGACATGTATCAGTTCAGACTGACTTCTAGCCTGACCTTGACAAGATGTGTCATTGCATCTTTGAAGAAAACCAGATCCAGGCTGGAGCCTCTTACACACTCATTGTGCTGAGCCTGATATGTCATCAGCTTCTTTGACAAGAATTCAAAATTTGGCACCTGGAAGAATCTTGGTTAGCTCAGAGTATGGTTAAAAAAAAGAAAAATCTACATCAGATTTCTGCAACACAAACATCATACAGTGGTCTAAATATCACTTTCATACCAATTCATAAATTTTAGGGGCATCAAAACAGGCATCGTCCTCTTCTTCTCCTGTTGGCTCGGGTGCATCTCGGAGGAAGTCCACAAAATATGGCTCAGGATGAAGTTCTGGGACAAGTTTCGGGTCAACATGCTCTCGGATCACACGAGATACAGCGTTCTCAAACCAGTCTCTGTCCTCATAGCAAACAAACCTACAGTAACACAATGTCTGAGTTAGCCATGTTGCCTTCTGTGTTGTACTTATTAGGAGATTTACTGCATTCAAGCACAGTACCTGTCTGCAATCACCCTTGTACATTCACTCTTGAAAAGAGCCAAATAAGTGGGGACATCATCACACTCTTCTGCCTTAATGTTCAACATGCCTTGCCAGATCCTGGACAAGTCTCTCAAATTGAAGATGTAGTGGAACTTTGATGGTGTCGGAAGCATTTTTGCCTTCAATGAGAAATCATCAGAATCATGTTGTCATTATTAAACCTACCCCTGTGACCAGTTCTGCGTCACTATCGAAGTATTTACCTTTGTCCACTGCCATAAAATCCTCCCAGCAGACACAAGGCACTTAACCATATCTGTTATTATAGGTTTGAAGCTCCTGCATGCATGGAAATATCCACAGCCAATTACACCTACAGAGAAAGAACATGGAAACTGTTCAACTGTTAAACACAACCTACAGTAAGTACATGAAAAAAAAAAACATTTAGAGAGCTACCAAATATTTTATCAATGGAGATGTTGGATGGCAGAGTACAGTTAAACACAGTAAACTGTCTCTTCAGCCGTTGTGGGATGTCGTTTCTCCCGCCACCAGGGTGGATCATGGCAGCCAGTATCTGGACATCCTCCATGTTGATGAAATCCCCTGGTTTGTCCAGATTGTACATGCCTTTCATTTCCATCATCTGACGGACAATCTCGTTGGTGATCTGGTTGAACAGTCACACGCGGTTACTCAGACTGAACTGATTAAACATTGAATAGTAAATATATTGTGAATATAAATATATATATATAAACACCTGATCTCCCCAGTCATTGATAACAGGCATGCTGATATCATCAATGAAGACTGTCATCCTGCGTCCTCCTGGGGGTCCGTAAGTATTGCCAATTCTTTTCTCAATGTAGCTTTCCACTGTTCGCTGTGTATAGAAAGAGTTTGCAAAAAAAAAGAGAAAACTAACAGAGAACTTTACAAAGCCAAACATGGAGAAGATTTTAAAGCATATATTTTACCTGAAACATCACAGGTTCTGTTGCAGATGAGAAGTTCAGGGACTTGAACAGGTCTGTTTCAGGATCATATTTTTTTGTGTAGCCTTTTATCATCACCGTCTTAGCGGTTCCTTGTTCACCAATAAGCAACACAGCCTGCATATAAACAACATTTATCTGTCACACACGTACCTACCAAGCAAAATGGGAAATATTTTTTAATAGAAAATATGTATTTTAAAAGAGACGAGATCACCTTGCGTTGCTTGGCAATAGTCTCCAGCAAGAAAGAGGTTCTTGTGTTATCCACATTTGGCACAAGGATGGAGTTGTAGTCTGGCACGTGGTCAGTCGGATACTCATATTCTCTCACATGGTTGTTCCAATGACACCATTCACCTGAAAAAGAAAAGAAAAAAAAGTTATAGTGCATATCTGTAAACAATCAATAAATTACTTATTTTAAAAATTCAGAAAAACAGCAAAGAGGTGATATTTTAAATATAAAATGACCATACCATTCGTGCTGACCATGTACTCAAACATAGTCTCTCCTGGCTTTGTCTGAGGCACATCGATGCTGCTGTCATGACCTCTGATGTAGACCTCCAGCTTGTCTCTATCCTCTAACTCCAGAAGAGCTCCCAGGCTCCACATCAGACAGAAGACAAAGAGGCGCTCAAGATGTTTGCTGCCAGCAAAGTCTATTTCCTTTGCTGGAAGGAGGCCCTCCAGCAGATTTATGGACTGAAAGTGCGACATAATTTGACAATTCAGCTTTTCAAAAAAGTTTGGTGGCATCATCTAGCTAATGTTGGTCTTTAGCATTTTTTCAGATACATACCTGCGTTATGTAGTTACACTCCAAAAGCTCCATTTTGGGATTAAGGTTTTGCTTCATGTACACGTAAACATCCTTAAACATCTTGTCATATAGACTTATAATGCTTTTTGTCTCTTTTGCATTGCGCTGCTGAGCCCATCCCTACAACATAAAGACCAGGTTCCATCTCAGCACACCGATGCAAAAACAGGCATTGTTTCTTTTCTGAATACACTTTCTCCAGTGACAATGTATTAAACAACTCTACCTGGAGTATGGGTTCCCAGCTGAGGGCGGATGAGCTCATGAAGACCATCCCCACTCGGGACACAGTAGCAGGGGAGGCATTGTCCATGTTGTGCACCTCAAAAACTAACTTGCAGGATGGTGACATGGTGATTCGGTCGCCATTAGCCAGGGTCAGGGTTTTATTGTCGTCCAGTACAGAGTTCAGGTTTTCGATCCATATGGCGTCCACAGGACCATCCAGCACAATCCATATGAACTCTCCTGAAGTGTATTCATTTCAAATCATAAAGTAGATATTTTTCTCTGCTACATTTTCTGTTACTCTTTCTGTTGTTCAATCTTTTAGTGTCTAAACAACAGACACCCAACACCCCCCACCCTCGACCAACCACTCCCCTATCCCTTTTTTTTTTCAAGTAAACAGAAGCCACTTTTGTCAGGCAGTTGGACTGTACAAACGATAACATGTCCGGTTATTGATGTTACACTTTACTTACTCTGTCTATGTTTTAAAAGTAAACCAGTCATGCAATATTGCTTGGAGGCATTATTTACTATTATTTCTAGATTGCAACAACCTATACTACTGTACATTATTTTATTTTACAATACAATATATTGTTCAGATAATACTTGTTTTTGGTAAGAACCTTTTTCAAATTAAATTAGTTATCATTCATTTTCTTTACAAAAACTTCTTAGTTTGAATTCTGAATGTGTTGTACTGCAAACCTTTCTTAGCTTTGAGTGTCCTTCTCCACAGAGTAGAAAAGATCCCGTCAGTCCAGTCATTGGTGGCAGCATCAAGACGACCAAACATCTGGGAAGCAGTAATTGCTTTGGGGTTCATGCGCATCTCCCTGTGCGGGGTTCCACATTCAGTCATAGAGTGCATGAGAATGTTGATGGCTGTGGTCTTGCCAGCTCCACTTGGTCCCAAAGTCATCAGGCCGTGGCGCACTTGTGAAGACTCATAAAGCTGACGGCGATAGTGACAGTATGGTATCAGTAAGAATGGTAGTTTCCCAACAATAGCTTTCTAACAGGCCGTCAACATGCAGATGAGCTACCTGAACAAGCTTGAGGTTCCATGGTTTGTGGTTGACAAGACCAGCAAGCTCAACTTGATGTGCAACCGCAGCCTGAAGCTTATCATATGTGGTCCCATCTAGCTGGATACCAGGGAATAAGTCATTGATAAGACTGAGGAAGAGGGGCTCATCCTCATCCACCTGAAACATACAGAAAGATTCATAAACACAGTACTGTCTCTGCCCATACAGAGCAATACCTACAATACCAGAATCATTTGATGTTTTATCACTGCCAATCAACACAGACTTTGTGTCGTACCAGTTTTGACAGATTCATGTCACGCAGCACTCTCATAACAATGCTGGACTCGGTGTCATTAGGTCGTGCTCTTTTACAGGCCCCAAGTGTTCTTAACACAGACAGTATGTTCCTCAGGCCAAAGTCATAGTGTACCTGACAAACAGCACATGTTGTGTGTTAGTGGGTCAATATTCATTAAAAAGGAATTGATCAACAAGCACGAGATTCTCACCTGCTTTGTAAGTTGTTCTTCACACAGCTTGTAAAGAACAAAGAATTTCTGGGCTAAGATAACATTGTCATTGAATCCACAACTGGCTAGTTTGACTCTCATGATGATCTGCCAAAGACAACAGCAAAGAAGTGACTGCTAAAGCTAAAATAGAAGGAATGATATTTCTCTTGAGCAAAAATAGTCTTGACCCACCTGCCGATCTGGTACCATCATAGACACTGTTCTGAATTGAACTTTTAGGTTTTCAGGAAGTTCCTGGCGACCTGCATATCCAGGGTTCTAGACATAGAGTGGCAATGTTCTTTCTTAAGTGCATATTAAAGTTTTTCTACTTAGTTGTAATGCGCTTCTTTTAAGACTCTGTGGATTTGTGGATCTTACCATAGTGATAAACAGGCCGAACTCCGGATTCAGAGCCACACAGTCTCCGTCAGTAAAAATGAAAGTGCTTTGGTGTCTCTTGCGTGCTGTCAGAACAATGTAGATCTGTTGAGCAGCAACAGAAAGCACTGGCAGGTCGATTCTGTTGAACTCATCGAAGCAGCCCCACGAGCCTGACTGCGCAAGGCCTGAAAAGAACACATCACGACATAGGTGAAACTGCACACTACGACTTGATGAATTGCTTCATTGCCGGGGATACCTTTATATATCCTGCCAAGTCCCCTGAAGTCCATTTGGTCAGAGCAGTTGAACACAACAACATACTTGCCAAGGCAGCGACCCATGTCTTTGGTGGTTTCAGTCTTTCCGGTACCGGCTGGCCCAGCAGGGGCTCCCCCCATGCTCATGCCCAGAGCTTGGGACAGTGTAATGTAACACCTAGGTTGATAAAAAGCAGTTCTTTGATTCAACCTAAGGATCAAACACCATATGAAAAGTTAAATTAACTGCAGTCACAAAATCAAAAGAATCATTTTTCTTGCCTGTCAGTCAGAGGGGTTATGACCAGACGATCAGTACAGCCCAGGAACTCATTCTGATAAATGAAGTCAACATTAGTAATGGATACGATGACCTTATCCAAAAGATCCTTGAAGTAAAATCTGCTCTGCTTCAACCATTCAAAGTCGTTGACAGACTTTACATGCTTTGTCACCTGAGGACCAAGTGGGACATAAATATGATTGTGATGCATAAATACTGACTACAGTCTGTTCATATTTTTCTTTCTAAATGTTCATGGCAGTAGCTAAAGAAAGATGTAAGAAGTAAAACCTACTAAGTCATTAAATATGTCGCTCTGGTGCACATGAATTGTGACAAGAGTCTCATATTTGACTCTCTCAAATTTGCTGAGGTCATGGGTGGTTTGTTTAATAAGCAAACTGAGCAGATTTAGGAATTTCTTTTTTGTGAAAGGCATGATCTCCTTGTCATCTTGTGCATTTTCTAGGGCCTCTTCTGCATCTCTCGTCCAAAGCATCTGGATTCCTAGCAGGCCCACCTAAAGAAGAAAGATGGAATGTATGGAAAAAATCTATACCACAATACAATATCACACAACCCCATGTACAAGCTTTTGACCTGACATCTATACAAAGGGGCATCCTCATGACATTTACAATCTTGCCATTAAACATTTGTACTAACACCCACACTTCTGTGTTCTGACCTGTGCTTGAAACTTCTGGAGGAAAGAGAGAAGATCAAAGTCTTCATCGTTTATCTCCTGATCTGAAGCTGTGATGACAGAGTGTAATGAGACCTGCTGCTGCAACAACAGCTCCCCAAGCCAGAGCTCCACTGGCCCCTGCGCCATGACAGATTCATTCAGCTGAAACCACAGACAAACATTTACTATATTGTCACATACCTGTGAGCAGTGCTGAAAAGAATGGACTCAATAATACTTTTAAGGTAGTTTAGGCTTTCTAGATGTTTCTATCCTACACAAAACACAAAATGCAGCCATGCAATATGATCTGGTTGTAGATGCAACTCCCCAGTATGAAATGTAATTAAATTCAGCTCCATTTAGACCAGCTCAAAAAAGGCTTCACATTAACAAGTAAATCCACATTATATACAGTGCTTAACAAGTTTACTAGACCACTTGTCATAAAAACGAAAAAATATGAATGTTGTAGAACTCTTTCAAAAACTTACTACAACTAAATAGTCCTTTTTCACACATAATAACCAAAACATGTTGTATTTTGTATGACCTCCTTTGGCACTGACAGCAGCTTGCATTCTGGCTGGTATTGTTTTTATGTACTTTTCGACATTCTCTTTTGTTATTGAGTTCCAAACCGTCTCTAGATGTTCTCACAGACTTGTTTTGCATCTGACATCAAAACGTTCTCCAGCTTCTATGTGGACATAAACACGACGATGCTGACCAAAGAGTTCAAACTTTGACTCGTCCATCCAGAGGACCTTCTTCCAATCATCAACAGCCCTGGCAAATCTGAGGAATTTCTGGATGTTTGCAGGCCTCAAAATCGGTTTCTTAGTAGCTCTTCAAGCCTTGTTCCATCAGTTGTCTGCTTTTGGTTATTCCTGAGACTTGGTCAGACTCATCTCTGCCTGAAGACCAGCAGTGGTCTCCCTTCTGTCTCTAGTACTTACAATCTTAAGATGATTGACATCTGCTTCAGTTAACTTTCGTCTCCTGCCTCTTCCTTGGTGCATTTTGTAAGAACCAGTCTCGGCAATTGATTTTAAAGCGTGCCTGACCACACTGTGAAAACACTCTATGTCTTTCCCTGTTTGTCTCAGAGACCATCCAGCATCATGAAGTGCTTTAATTCACACTCAGCTCTTGACAGTATTCCGTTTTGAATGAGAATGAGGAATTTCAAACCAAATTCACCTTTTTACACCCAAATTTGCCCCGGCTCACTGGGCTTCTCTGAACAGTCAGAAATAAATCAAGCATAACATTCAACCACTAAAACATTTTTTTTCTGTTTAGGGATGCAAGTAAATAACTATAATTTGACATCTTAATCAAGAAACAAAAATGTGCTTCACAATTTTTCCTTTTTTTTTTTTTTGTAAAACTTAATTTAAAAGTTCATGGATAACAATAATAATTATATTCCAGTGTTAAAGAGCTTCTACATACTGGTGGATTAACCACTACAGAAACACAAAAACTGATTTTGGTAATTCCCAATGCTGTTAATTTAAGTCAGCTGTGGCATAAACCTTACATTGGGTGATGGTCTAATACATGTGTTAAGCACTGTAGATATTAAAATACAGCTGCAATCTCAAAAAGCAATTAGCATTACATACCACTAGTTTCTCTCCTTCTTGTGAAATAACAGCCAAAATCCTGTCGTACTCTTTTGCATGAAACTCTGCTTCATTGACATTGTCGAACACTCCAAGAAGATGTGACTGAAAAACATTTACACCTAAATTCATTTTTTCAACAAAATGGAACAAATCAAATGTCAGCATAATAGATGAATGCGAGAACATCTTGACGAGGTCCTCAGTATACACGTTGTCATTAGGAAAAGACAAAAAACAAAATTCATGGTCCTGATGTTTTTCAATCTAAATTTCCAACAGTTGGCGACAAACACATTTCTTTTACTGACTAGTATCTGTATCTGGGTTATATCCTGATCTTCTCTTACTTGGCACATGGCCTTGTTTTCAACCAAATTTCATTTTTGAAATACAGTGACAAGTTTTTAAGATCTCCTGCTAACACTTGGACATATAAATGGAACATGCAACATCCTTGGCAGAGGTGCTATGATTCCTGTTCACAATTAACATGTTTTATTCGTGTGTTTGTTTGTTTTTTTATTTTCATGGCAACAATAAATTTCCTTACCTGGATTGTGTGAGAATCACTGGCTTGTCCAAGGATTTCCAAAAGGGCCGGATCTGACACAAAGAAGAATCGTGGAAACAGGAGCCTCTTTTTCTCAAGGTACCTATTAAAGTAGACCATGTTATCTTCATTAACATCACCTGTACTGCTATAACTAACCAGTGATGAAACCAACTTTGTGGTTACTTTGAAGCATTTAAAATCTTGTCATGTCATGTACACTTTTGGTAATTTCATCAATAATATAGTTTTCAAAATACTGAAAGGCACAATTTGTAGGGAAACTCGGGGGGATAATGGCATTAAAAAATAATTAGAGTTACAACGCACCACAACAGGGAAGAACTACCTAAAAGACGTTTGGATTTTTTAAAAAGAATTACCCTGCAAGAGATTTCTGACACATCTCCAGCTCTTTCTGAAGCTCTGGCAGGTGCTGGCCCAGAGTTGGCTCACAAACACAGCACTCAACCACATTTGGGACCTTTTGAGCTCTCTGCATGATCTCAATCCAGGACTTGTCAATTTTCTGAAAGCGCTTAGCTTCCTGCAATTGGAAAAAACAGGCCATTTAGCAGGAAAAACTTCAAATCGTGATTTTCAGAAAGCAACGGTAAAAAGCATAAACTGCACCTGTGGCAGGTCTTTGGCAATGTCCCCCCCAACAAATACAGCTTCCAAATAGATCCACAGATTTTGCACAGTAATCCACTGTTCAATGACATCAGACGACGTTGAAAGCTTGAAGACCCAATCCTGGATCTCGGCTTTGTAGTAGGTACTGTACCTGTATAGGGCGAACAAGGACACATGTTCCGTAGCACATCACAGACACTGTATGGATCCTATGTCTTCAAACATGTCTTTAATTATTCTACGCAAGGTTTTATTTTATCACTATTTCTGTTTCTTTTTTGAAAAATTGGTTTTAGTCTTTCCTCATTGTTCTCCTGAGGGGTGATGGTTCCTTTGGGATCAGTAAGCTAATAAAATCTAAATTTCAAGTTTGCATTTGTTCTGTTTTACCTGTTGCTCAACAATGAACCCAGAACCATCAGACTATCCTCCAGGATGGAGAGAATCTCTGCTGTCTCTGCCCCTTTCAGCATCAGTTCTCCTCTGTCCTTAAATGTCATCAAGCTCAGCATCTGGCCAGACCACACCTCTTTTACTTGTGACAATTTGGCTTCAATATCCTTCTCCTTCACAGCAGATATGCAGATGTCCTACAAGAACAGATAGCAAAGCTTACGAAGATTAACTAAAATAAACAGATACAATAATGTGGAGGAAAATGTGAACAGGTTTAAATGTGGTCAAAGTATCCAAACTGCCAGTAAACCTCAATATCGTCCTTGTACTTCAACAGAGGTGCTTCCATGATGTCTTTCAGCATGAAGGTATTGGAGTCCACATCAAATTGGTGTCCAGTCAAGTCTGTGATCCGGTCCCAGTGTCTGTGCGTCATAGATTTATTTGCCATCATTTCAAGCAAAGGGCATGACTCACTGAAATCATCAATGGACCTCTTTAGGTCCAGGAAGGCCTGCACGTCCTTCAGTGCTTTGGGTAGCCTCCGACACCTACATATAGGGGCAATGAACAATAAATATCTACAGTATACAAAAAATATAGGGGACAAAACAACAACAAAACAAAACCAAAATACTTCACCTGTTCTGAAATTCCAAAAGTTCTGAATTGATCCTTTCGATATCCACTTGTGTCCAGAGAATGGTATAGTACCCATTAATCTTACTCATCACTGCATCATACAGGCCATACAGCTTCTGAAGCAGCTCCAGCTCTTTTCTTAAGGGAAGCAACACATATACCATTATTAGTCTAAATACATTGTACAATAGTCTAAATATAAATAGCATCACTAAAATATGACTAAATTGTCATTGCTATGGCAATGTAGGAAAAGCTTTGGAAGAGGGACAACGTACTTTTTCATGTGTAGATACTTGTACTCTGTAACTGGCATGCCAAGAAGCTGTTCCCCAGAATAACATCTGGTATACTTTCTCCAGAGTTCTTTAAAACTAGCCTGAGTGAAATTAGAAAAAAAAACAAAACAAGAAATTACACTTACACATTGCAAGACTAATAGAAACAGAAGCAAGAATCATCAACATCATAATACTAACATTGTGTTACTGAATAGTTGTTTTAGCACTTTGTTACGTACGACATTTATATGACTTGACTCTTTTTAAGCATTCAGCTTTGCAGAGTTATAAAACCAAGTCTCCAGTCTCAACAATGACGGAAATAAAGAATGGCATTAATTAAAATGACAACAGTACCTGACAGATATGGAACCTGCTGCTGGCTTCTTGTGGCGTTATTCCATCGACCTTCAGGCCTTCCTAAAATACAACACCAAATTAACTGATAAATAATTGAGTGTAAACTTAGAGGTGTTGAAAACTTGAAAACACACACAGTAGCTAAAATATTCACAGATTACTTACGTCATGTTGCTCCTTAAAAACGGCAATGTCATTTTGGAAAACAGCAACACATTCAAGAAGGGTTTGTCTGAACTGGGGCTGCTTACAGAAAAGCTCGTGTTGCACTGACCCCTGGGAAAGTCAAGAATTATAAACCAAGAATGAGTTATCAGAAAACACACTAAAATCACAAAACAAAACAAGCATAAATATAAAAAGAATACCAACAGCTTTAGACTGAAGCTTTGTGAGAAGATGTTTCAGATTGTTTACTTCCTCTGCTTCTGTCTTGGTCACTTCTGCTTCATATTTAGTCAAAATTTCAAAGGCTTCCTGTAAATATATTATTATATGGTTAGGCTTTTGTTTATTAGGTTAGATAAACACGGCTCAGCTCCATGAATATTATATATGTATTACAAATCAGTGTGTGGACGTTTGGTGTCTTATATGCCTTATATCTGTTGACCTCTGACAAGCAATGACTCCCTGGAATAAATTTCATTTCCTCATCTGTAACTGTAGACACATCCGTTCACTGGTGCAGATATTTACGCTTTTAAAAGCAGTGCTACTTTCGGTGTGCACATGGTCATACATCCTTTGCAGTTAGAACTAAGCTCTATCCCTGAAAACAGATGATTCTGCTATTCATACCTCAATGGAAGTCAACGTCATATCGGTCTGCACTTCAGCATCTCGAAGCTTAGACAGGGTCTCAGCGGTGTGACGTACATCTTCCAGATCAACCACAGGATGTGACAGTTGTTCAAGGCATCTCTTAGTGTGTTTGCTGGTGTCAATCATTTTCTTCTCGTACTTCATCTTCAGGTACTTGCAAAACAGTTGCTTCCAGGCTTTGGTCTCAGCTGTCAGGGCCCTTTTTAATGTACCTGTATACAAGAAAAAAAAGTTTCATTTTGCATTGCTCCCTTTGAAAAAAAACAGTTCTAAAACTAGGAAAAGCCAGGAAAAAAAAACTACTTATTTTGATGAATTAATTTTGCGTTCACTCTAAATGCTCTGATTTCTCCAGCACTGTAAAGTGTATTATTTTTTCTAGTGATTTCTAATTGTGTTGTAGACACTGGTTGTCTGATGATTTGATTGAGGAAAATGCTTAAGTTGCTTCTCAGATTTTACACTTTGTTTTGGTCTGGTCCGGGCCTGGCCTCCATGGTCTCTTCTAATCCCATGTGGGCTGCTTTGCATGGCATATGAAAATCTAAATGTATCAATACATTTTAGACTTAAAACATCAAATGTGCTAAGGGAGAGATAACAAATGTGTGTTTGTAGGATTACAAGCACACTATCTAATTCACTGCAGTGTCTGGGTGCGAATACATTGGCTTAAGAGCAATAAGAAAATTTGAAACATTCAATGGATTGCTGTGAGGCTGATATTTTTCATTTAAAATGAAATGTCTTGACAAATATTTCTTCCACAGTGTCAGGGTGCCAGGAGAGCAGGACCTAAGTTTAGAGAGAGCCAAGCAAGAAGGAACAGTTTGAGAGGATTATTTGCAAAATGCAAAACACTGAGGCTGACAGACAGGGTGGTAGGTAACTCAACCAGAGGGCAAAGTAGAGCTCATGGTCAAACAGTTAAACAGGAAAACAGGAAACAGAATAATGCTAAAGCTGAGAGCACACAAATGCACAAAGCAGTCAGGCGGAGGGTTGGATAGAGCAGGGGTGATTTTCATCATGCTACAGTGGCTCCTTGCTTGCCTCACTCATGTCAAGTCCTATCTATACAGACAGGGGACACCTGGACAGGTAACCAGTCTATCACAGGGCTACACAGAGAGACAACCAAGCACACTCACATTCACACCTACGGACAATTTAGAACCACCAATTAACCTCAACTTGTTTATAGACTGTGGGAGGAAGCCGGAGAACGTGGAGAGAACGTTGAACAGGAAGAACACGCAAACTCCACTCAGAAAGATCCCAGGCGTCCCAACCTAGGTGAGGCGATGGTGCACTCAACCTATGTCAAGTCCTGTGAATGATAAATCCTTGGTTGGGACTGGGGGCTGCAAGGTAGCTCAGTGGTCAGTACCGTCGCCTCGCAGCCCAGTTCGTATGGGATCTTTCTGCGTGGAGTCTCCATGTTCTCCCCGTGCAGCGTGGGTTCTCTCTGGGTTCTCCGGCTTCCTCCCACAGTCCAGAAACATGTTGAGGTTAATTGGTGATTCTAAATTGTCTGTAATGAATGTGAATGTGCCTGGTTGTCTGTCTCTAAGTGTAGCCCTGTGATAGACTGGGTACCTGTCCAGGTGAACCTGCCTTCACCCTGAGTCAGCTAGGATAGACTCCAGCCCCCCATAGTGAGGATTAAGGTGGGTGGAACTGGTTGAGAAGTTGGCAACAGGTGAGGTGGGTGTGGCAGACAGATGACTGGGAGCAGAACAGAAGTCTAACGACATCTGGTGGGTGGATGGTGCGTTGCAAGAGGTAGGAGTAAGACAATGTACACAAAACAGGGCTTGGATCAAAACTGTGACAACTTTGAAAGAATAACTTTATCAGACAATCCTGTCTGACAATCTTGTCCATACAGAATGAATTGAAATTACTCTGGGGATCCCTGTCCTTATAATTATATGTCATTATTTATATTAATAGATTCTATTATCAGTCTGTTCAAACACCTTCACAATTTGACGTATTGTCAGCTTCAGTTGTACTTTGTATTCTATAAAATGTTATACAGAGGGCAGAAAATAATCTGCATCAGAGTGAAAAATAGTACAACACATTATGATGAGCTTACCTGTTGACAGTTCAATAGACGTCAATACAATGGTGGGCTTGATATCATCAATTTTTTGTTCAAAAGAGTCATAGTACTGGATTTGAGATTTTATCTGGATTAAGGACGGGTTGCTGTCCATGAATTCCTTACAAATTACAAATGAAGAAAAGCATGTTAATATTTCCAGGAAAACAGAACACCTATATGAAAGTCAGCACAGGACACATTATGTTTGTAGGATGGCAGACCTTGACTTTGACATCTCTGCCCTCATCCCAGATCACCCTGAAAGACTCAAACTGCTTTAGAACATCAGTGACTTGTTTTCTCTGGGAGCTGACTGCTGTTTTCAAAATGCCCACAATGTTTTTGATGACCTTGTGTTTGACAACAAACTGAAAGAAATGGTCTTTTTCTGGGCCTGCGTATGGGATCAAAACAGGAAAAAAGCAAAATATCAACCAAAAGCAGATTCACATATTTTTATTCTATTGCAGGACACCATCATTCCTGCCAACCTTTCTTTCAGATGTCTTTTTACATGCGTGCATGCTGACACTTAGTTACCTGTACTTGTTGTGTCATCATGACTGTACACCTGCTGCCGTTTGATACCCTTGCTAGTTTCCAATACCAAGTTGATGAGTTGATTTATGGCCTGCTGGATCTCATCTACACTGGGTTTCATTACCTGATGACAACAAATATCAAGACATAGAAACCCAATTTTCTGTTTAACATAACTGACAAGGAATTCTAGCTGATCTCCTCCCCTACAACGTCATTACTGCAGCATGAACAGGAATCAGTCATCAATGAGTAGTTGAAACTCACCAAATTGGGTATGTCCAACTGGGCTTCAGATTTTATGAGTGGGCTAATCACAGACTTTGGTTTCGTTTGCTGGTAAGTACTGAAATTCCCATTTGATGACACAAATCAGTAGGAGATAATTATTATTTGTCTGAGATACTGGTCGTTTTTTATATCCTGACAAACACAGACATACTTACTTAGTGGCACAAATCCTCCTTTTCAGGCTCTCCAGAGATAACTTCACTGTTTTGACAAGTGCATCTAAAACCCTTTCACTGAAGTGTTCATAAAGCTTCTTCTTCTCCTGAAATTAAGATTTTTATTTGAGGCTTTCACACCTTTTGGTACACTGTATATAGCAGAAATGCTTTGCAGTTAGTATGTAAACATACCTTTTCAAATTTGATTGTTTTTTCTTTAACTGAGCCTTCTACAAGTACTGCTTTGTCCTTAGTAGAACCTGTCTGGCTCTCTCCTGAAAGTGTCCCACTCCTGCTTCCTAAAACATTTAAAGAGTAAAACACAAAAGTTATATTTAAATACTTTCATATTATTGCCACTTGTTTAACTATTAACTAGGAATTAAGAGCACCTGACACAGGATTCTCAGCAGTCTTGGGGCCCTTTGGTTCATAAACGGTGCTGAACAGATCACCCAGCTCCCTGACTGCTATTTCAACCCTACTGCATTTGTCATGCAATGTCTTTGCCCCCTCCTTACAGTGTTTCTGTTTCAAGAGAAATACAAAAACTAAACCTACAACTTGAACAAAATAGTTGTTACGTATTCATTTAATGCAGGAACAACAGCTACATTTTTACTGATGTTTTAATTTAGCGAATGAAAATAAGATGGTCGTACCTTATTAAGGTCAATCAGGTCCTCCATGAAAGACACATTATCTTCTGGAAGCGCAATCAGCACCATCTCTGAGACGTCTTTGAGGACATCATCAATGTGTGTCTTACAAATATTCTGCACCTGAAAAAAAAGGCATTTAGAAACATGGCCCTTGAGCAGGAGTATTGTTATGAACACCCAAAGAGCAAAACTGTGATGAACCGTGGATGACAATCCCTCTGAATGAAATAAAATAGGCTGATGATTTCTAAATCTCTTTCAAAATAATATTCAGCCCTACTTTCAACTCTAAATGACACTACTTGAAATTACAGAAATATTTGTATCTGCAAAGGGCACAGCTAGTAATGTGCACAGTCTTTTTTGTTAGGTAGCATACCTTGTTTACGAGTTGTGTCAGTTCAAACAAAGCAGTCTCAGCATTTTGAAAGAACTTGTCGAGTAGGAGGGATGACCAGGTGAGCAGCACTGACCCATGGTGAAGGGCACATTCCACCTAGCGAGTCACCAAAAACACACAATTACTTATAAAATAAAAGGTAACCCTCTTTAGGTAGCAAACTTTTATTTACCAGCTTAGAGATTTTCCCACAGAAGAAAGAATCGACTGTATTTACACAATGCTTACATGTTTTATTTTTGAAGTCATCAAGCTGGCAAAGACTGCTGGTATGTTCTCACAGGTGGACTCATACTCTGCCAAAATATCCTATAAAAAGGCAAACAAGTCATTTTATATATCGCTGAACAATGCTTATGTGAAAAAAAAAAGTGTTTTATTGTACCTGGAGCCTAAGCTGATTGGCGGCTAGTTTGCTTTCCATCTTGACAAACTGTAAAGCTTGATTTGGAACCTTCAGACCCATCCTCAGCAAATACTTCGTCTCCTGAATGACCTCAGTTATTTTAGGATCAAAGTTGACAAATAACTTTCCTGTGCTTGGGTGACGAACCAACAGTGTACAGTTCAAGACTGTTGAGAAGAACAGGGAAGGAGTATTTCAAATGACTATCAACAGAATCATCTGATGCCACCTAACAACTGAAATCGTGCATCATCTAGTGTATCAACACATTAGGTCAGAAACAGCAAACCAACCATGATCTATCTGTGTCACTTCATTGAACCATACTTGATGGTGAACACACTCAAACTCAACCAACAGAGCAGCAGTTCGATTGTACATTCTGACCACATCTTGTCCCTCAGAACTGCACAGGATGTCGGAGGCTTCCTGTTAAGGATGACAGACTCTGTTAACAAAAAACATCTCTCAGCAGGATAATAAAGTATTTTCTGTTGTTTTGCTGATAGAAATGATTGGTGGTAGTTATACTTGTATGCATAACATGGGTTCCTCTATTTTTTTGTAGAGGTGCCTGACCCAACCGATCCGTCCAGCCACCGGAGGCATGTTTCTATCTAATGGCGGGTCCTCCTTCTGACTGTTAAAGAGCTGCAGAAAAGGTTTGAAAAGTGATTTTAACAAAAACAGGAAAGTATGTATTTTACTGTAAATGTACCATTTTATTATATTTTAGTTTATTAGCAATCTGAGTATATAAAACAAATGCAAATTGGGTACCTTTCTCACAGACTCTATTTCTGAGGCATAATGTTGAAGAAAACAACCCAAACAGCTGGACATCTTTGTGTCAAGACAGGGAATTTTCAGCCTCTGAAAGCTACAAACAAAACCATTTAAGACACCTGTCAGAATGATCCTATTGTTATACAATGGTTTACATCATTACAGTAGTCTTTATATTATACTGTTACTGGTTATACTACTACCACTCCCACTACTACGACTACACCACATCATACTGACCAATCTATTAGGTGAAGCGCTTGCTGAGTTGAGACGAAGTTTGACAGACATGACATCATAAAATCCTGCAGCTGGTTCTGTAGAGGACAGACAACTTTTTTTCATACTACCATCTATTGAAAAGCTCAGGTCAAAACTGGGATTTTTTCACATTAAGAAAAAGCTTTGCATTTGAGGCCAGAGAGAAAATTTTGCAAAGCTCACTTGTATCTATATCAAACCACACAAGCAACTTCATTCTTATATTTAAAAAAACGGATTCTGAATGACAACTACAGGCTCCCATATTCACCTTTGCATTTTATATGACTCTTTAAAATGGTGTTCTTTAGACCAAAGGAAAAAAAATACACATGTTGTTAATTACTGCCAAGACACTGTGTACACGTCCTGCCTACATCTGCACCCTTATATTTTATCATAGCAGCAACTACAGCACTAGATCTACTACTGGAACTCACTGAAAAGTCACAAGGGTGCCCTAGAACAGTTCTACACAGTCCTTGACTTAAAATGTAATCATACCACTGATGCATTTTGTATTTTACTATTTCCATTGGGTTGTTTTTGTCTTGAATGTGTTTTTTTATGTAACTGTCATCTTGACAGAACTCCTTAGAAAAAAAGGTCTCCTTTTCAGACGTGACCTTGATTATTATGAGGTTTCCTGAACAAACAAAGTTTAATTATGTTGGAAACAATACTTAATGTACAAGAGGATAGAATCAACCTATTCAAGCTGCAGCTCAGTAAGAGCAGGAAATTATACATACCTCAATGTTGCTGATTTGAGACATAAACTTAACAAAGTCCGTTTCAAACTCAGTTGCCCCTGAAGCCAACATGTCAAGCTGCTTCCTTTTCATATCCATGAATACGTTGTGGAATTGTCTGGCCAGAGTCTCAATGCCCTCAATGTTGCATTTTTCAAGAGATCCAAACATCTTGATCACTGTGACTACTTGTAGAATCTACAAACATAAAGCTGACTGTTATTTGTCAAGGCCTTACAATAAGAGCAAGACTCAAACTGAAGAAGTGAATATTGACTGTACCTTATCAAGCTGCTTCAAGAACTTCTCTAACTTGCCAAAAATCAAACTCTCCGAAAGCCCAAAGAAGCCCTGTTGAGGACTTTCCATTGCTTGTGTTTTTGATTTCTGGAAGCAAGACTTATACTCCTGATATAAGCAGCTACAGTCCTGCCCACGATAAAAGAAGAATGAGCACAAGGTTACAATCTGATCATGTCAAAATGTGCTCTGTTTAAGCCTCGGTAATGATAACATGGACATGCAGTGCCACCATCACCGTCATTTTTCTGCTGAGGTCTTCAGCATCTTGATCCCATATGAGACTTGCGCCATCATCAGTAACGTATGACCTGCACGCTATAACCATCTGATTTGTGACCTGGAAAGATTTTCAGGGAGTTTTCATGATTTCACAAACCCTTAGATTGCATATTTTCATACGAATCACGTATTCTTAAAAAAGGAAACAGATTTTTCCAAGACGAAATAAAGTACACTTACCTTGGCGAACAGTACAGATATCTTTTCATTTGTGTTGTAGTATTGTGAAATACTGTGAATCATCTGAATGCTGCTGATGATATTCTGCACACTTTTCGTTATGGCTGACTGAAATCACACATATACGTAACACATATAATGCATATATAAGTATATTTATAACACTTGGCCTATTTAGAAAGAAACGCTGTCTTTTAACCTGCTAATAAACAAACACTTCATACATATTGTGTCCGTGCTGTCTATCCTATAATTGTAATACTCGTCTTGTTACCGATAGAACAGAAAACAGGCAGTCGTCTTCTAACATATTGTGAATATCATGTAGTAGTTTTGGGAGTTTTTCAGTTTAACCCGTTCTGAGTACAGCAACAGCTCCTGTGATTTTTTTTTTCTCTCAGCATTTTCAATTAAAATATAGACAATAGAATTTAAATTCAAACAACAGATTTGTCGAACAAAGTTTGATGAACTGATACGATGACATCAACAGAGGAAGAGGAACGTTTTTGGCGTCGTGTGTTAGGGCCATGTCTCAGATAGTTCTTTCAATTACTGATGTGGAACGACTTCGAGATGAGACTTGGTACCTCTCATCTGTTATTGCATTTCAAAATAAATGTCTTCAAGCACAGAGCCTGAAGAAAACACACGTGTAACTGTTTCTAGTGTGTCCAGATACTCTCTGGACAGTACAAAATAATGTAGTAGACATATTTCTGTTCAGTATTAACAAACAGAAATCAACTTGTGGACTATACATACCAGGTCATTGCTGTACAGAGGTTGACAGACTTTCTCCAGTGTGGAAAGAAACTGTACACTGTCCTTTGCCTCGTTGGCATGATGTGTTAGCCTGCCATTCAGACTCTGCCACATCTGCATTAATACAACCGTCTGTTAGGGCTGAATGGAATTCCACAGGCAGCTCATCCTTAAGAGCTGTTAAGACTATTGCAAATTTTCAGATATTATGAATTCATGTTTTTTTAATATATATAAATCCTTTAGTCCAAAAAAAAAGTCAAGTTACAATACCAGAGCTGAAAGTGTTGTTTACAAGGAATGCAGAATATCAAAAACAGGGAAAAAAAACACAATTGTGTGATATCTGAATCTAAAAAGAGTGATCAAGTCATTTAATGAATTACTGATACAGTTTCTGCTAATGGACAAAAACCCTTTATATCACAATCACTGTATAAGAACTTTTCTGTATTCCTTTTTTGATGTCTAACAGTTGCATCAGTACCTTCATCATTTTGGAGTTGCTGATATGGAGCACCATTTCAACAGCCTTAAACTCTGGGCTTTTGATGTGCTTAATAATGTCGTTGAAGCTTGAAGACATCTTTCTCCAGTAATCCAACTCACTCCGTGGCCCTTCAGAAGCATCCAATGTCCTCAGTATGTCTCTCTCTACCAAGACCTGATGATTATGCATACCATCAAAGTTTAGAAATTCAATTCATTCATCCATAGTAAGATTGATTCAGGAAGGGATAGGCTTTAACATATTCACAAAGCATATCCATTCACCATAGGAGATGTGTTTTGGCCCATGTTCTACAGTTTCCAGTTACAGTTTAGACCAGGGGTATCCAATCCCGGTCCTCGAGGGCCACAATCCTGCATGTTTTAGATGCTTCCCTCTTCCAACACACCTGATTCAAATGATCAGGATCGTGATCAGGCTTCTGCAGAGCTTGATGATGAGCTGATCATATGAATCAGGTGTGTTGGAAGAGGGAAACATCTAAAACATGCGGGATTGTGGCCCTCGAGGACCAGGATTGGACGCCCCTGGTTGAGACTAACTGATGCTAAACATGGCCTGCAAGTTGTATTTGAACGACGTCTTAATGAAACTTTGGTGACTGTTTGGTAAAGGACATATTTTAACTAACCACCCTTTCTACTGGAAATTCCTGCTGCTTTTCACATGTTCTGCTTTAATCTCCTCCACAATGTCCTCTTTCTTCAATTATCCAAATCCCTCTTGTGTACTTCTGTCACCATCTCGACCTAATGATCGGCCTCCCTGTGTTCTGTAGCCATAATGACAGCTCTAAAGCTTTAATTCTACTAACCTGCTCGATTTGCTTGCACCATTGCTTTAGAATTTGTTCCAGTTGTTGCACTGTGTCAAAGTTGGCAGCCGCAACTTTCATATCTTCAAGGCTGACCAGTTTAGAGAGGTCAACATCTGTGACTGTTTGCAGATGAACAACGTTCTCTTTTGTCATCTGGATGTCTGTTTTACAAACAAGACAAAGTACAAGGCCATCAGAACGAGTTCAAGACCACCTTTGGGTTAATAAATAGCAGGTACTACCACAAAAATGACAATTCTAAAGCACTGAAATGTGATTTGTAGGGCTGGTCCGAATAGCAATTTCTGATCTCCGGACATTCGGTCCCAATTAATGACGAATATCCCGAATATTCAGGGGTGGTGGTGGCGGCTGGCTATTTTTGTCGACGGGGGGGTGGGGGGTGCGCTCGGGCTCGGACGAGTTACAGTGACTACAGTGGCTACAAAGACCAGTTTCTGTGTTTTGGTTAGTGGTGACGGCTCTGTTTCCGCTAACAGGGGATATTCGGAGATCCAGTTTGATATCCCGATTCCAGCACAGCGAACGAATAGTCGGCTATTCGGCTCCAGCCCTAGTGATTTGCCAGACAAATAGTGAAAGTATGTTAATGTTTAAGGGTAATTACTTCTAAGCATCAGAACTTAAAAGACTTTTAAGAGACTCAAAAAAATTAAAAGAGAAAATCATGTAGGTGACAATTTGAGGCAAAATGACTTACCTTCTAAGGAGCCGAGACATTGTTTTATGGTGTGCTTGAAGTTCTTTTGAATTTTTTCACCATCTCTAGACTTGTCTAAGGCGCCCCAATCGTGTACTGCGTCAAGAGCTACTGGCACAAAGCTGTCCGCGTTCTCTGTTTCTTTCATGAGGCCGTCTCTGGCATTAACCACTGAAAAAAAGATCTCCTACAAAGAATCAAGACGAGATCTGCCATTACTTCAAAAAAAAAAAAAAAACTCAGAAAAGCTAAAACCTGACCGGGGAGATTTGATTTGGATTAACAGTAGCTTAAATAGTTGTGTAAAAAAAATGAAAACAGGCAACTTCAAATTCAACTTTCTCATATCAGAAACAAACAGACAGACAGACAGACAGACAGACATGTGGTCGGTTTTGTAAAAGATACTAAAATGTCTAGATGTAGTCCCTTGAATTTGACTTGAATAACGCTGAGGATGGAGGGGGATGAAGTTATCTGACCATCTGACAAGAACGTTGGATGAAGTAAACTGGTTATTTGAGGAAGTCAAACTTGTGTTTTCTATGACAGCAGTTCCCGTCCTTTCCCAAACGAATATGGGGGAATGCTTCTTACCTTCATCTGAGCAGCTGACAGTGTAATAATGAATAAATCAGCAAGACTCCACTGATAGGACAAAAGCAACTTATGCCAGTCCGACACAATTTGACTATATTTTGGCGAAAGAAGAACTTCAGCACCAGGATGCATTTTAACGGAAATAAATCAGACTAGTTGACTTGACATTATTCCCAAATCTATCCATAAAGCCTGAATATTCCCAAGATTTTAAAAATAACCTAATGCGTCCATAAATGTCTCTATTCTTTTATGTAGATTCAGCTCTACAATAAAAATAAAACATTTTTAACACTAAATCGAATTTAGAGTGGTCGTGCCTTGGTTGTTGTATACAGTCTCCAATAGCTTTTTATTTCACTATTTTTTTTAATGGAAAAACAAAAAATTCAAAATTATTAGTGAAGGCATTTCAACATCATTTTCCCTCCCCTTTTAGCACATGATCAGTTCTCTAAATAAGGAGAAGTACGCACAGCAAATAAACGCATCTATCACACCAAACTAAACAAACTACAATTACAGAAGCTGACCACGTTGCACATATGAGCCCATCTTACCTCATGCACATTCTCTGAATTCACAGCAACGTCCACTCTGAACCTTGCGAAAGAGCAGCAAATTCCTGTAAGGCACGTCTTGGATAAATCGGCTAAAAACAGCCTCGATATCTTTTCCCCTTTGGGAGCCCCAGCACATGAGCGGCTACACTCTGAAAGTAAATCCACACAATTTTGGATGAGGTAAAAAAAATAAAATAAAATGGAACACATGTTTAAATGTATTCATTACAAATATTGATTCTGCGTATTAAATTCTGGATATTTATCAGTATGGAGACGAGATAATTCACAAAGTTTAGTAAATTTGGTAAAGACAAGCATACAACTGGCCCATCTAAAATGAAGCACACACAAACTGACATTTCAATTTTAGAAAAATGAAATGCTGGAATTCTGGTCTATTGTACATGTGTCATTCAGTGTTGAATTCGAGTGACAAAATGAGAAATGCATGTCAATGTAATACAGCGTCTTCCTAGACTTATTCCTACCTGGGACTTCAGACTTCTGATACACAAAGGAAATGGTTTTACAACCTCCTATAGCAAAGAAATTATCAACAGCAGCCAACTATTCAGCAAAAAAAGAAAAAAGAAAGAAGAGATAAACATTTTTAGCACACTAATTGTATAGTAAAACAAATTATGGCACGAAAGATATTCAAACAAAACCACAATGCCACTGTAAAGTTTTTTTGTTGCCTCTAAAATTGTATTCTAAATGTAACCAGCATACGTGTCGTGATGTTTCCACCCAAAAGGTAAACTGAAAAGGTGCAGTCACTTCTGAAAAGTGCCAAAAGGTTCTCTGTATGTCAATGTCATATATTTTGTTCCAGCAGACCACAGTAAAGATCAAACAGACCAAAACTATTGGAACGACAATTTACTCATCTGGTTGGATGTACACACACTGTCAAAATCAATGGATAAACTCACACATGAAGACTCTAAAATGAATTCCTCTACTTCAGTTGGCGCCAAGGACAGCCTGTCAGCCAGGATGTCGATCAGGTACTGGTGTGCAGGGCTGAGGAGCTTTTTTCGCTGTTCCCTTGCCTGATTAATTGTGACCTGAGAAAGACATTGGTTGTAAATTGCAGTACTTGTATTTGCTTCAGTAACTAAATCTAAATACCTTAAACAGAGTTGCTTGCTTGAATTCTTATGTTTACATCTTAAGGTGTTAAATCACTTTACCTGATGTTGGTTTGATTTTGGGTTTTGTGGCTCCATCTTGGAGACAGCAAAGATCCCCTTATGTGCCTTTAAAAACTCCTTTCTCCTGCTTATTCACTCTTAAATTAAATAAATAAATAAAAATCACACATAAGCAGCTGATGAATAGTGGTTGATTTTTCTTAGAAAATAGGACAGATTTCATGTCTGCATTGGGACTTATAATGACAAAATGTACATAGCAGAGGCTTGTTAGCTAATTGATGCTAGGTACAGCATTGATGCCCTGTTAACTGACTGCATTAGCTTAGCATAACCGTTAGCACTTGGCTGTTCGTTAGCCTTCTATTTCTGACAGTTAGCTACCAAGACTCGGCTATTTAGGAAAATTGTAGCTGTCTGTTGGGCACAATTTCTGCCTTTTTCATTCAGTAAAGTAGAAGGGAGTCGTCCTGCTTATTCACTCCAGATTAAGTAAAAAAAAAAACAAAAAAAAAAACACATGCACACATAATTATACGGTAATGTTTAAGCTGGATGTATTTTGTCATTGTACTTCAGTATATCTAACACACTGAGTGTCATGTTTGATGAAGAGTAACAGCTCAGAAAATAGGACAGATTTTATATCAACATTGGCACTTATGATGACAAAATGTACAAAGCAGAGGCTTGTTAGCTGACTGATGCTAAGTTTAGCAGTGATGCCCTGTTAACTGACTGCATTAGCTTCACATGACCGTTAGCACTTGGCTGTTCGTTAGCCTTACATTTTTAACTTTACTTACCGAAACTCGGTTATTCAGGAAAACCGTGGCTGTGTGCCGGGCACATTTTCTTTGTGTGCCTTTTTCGTTTGGTAAAGTAGAAACGAGTCGTCGGTGTTTCCCTGTGACCGACCGAAGAAACGTTTCCATCCGCACCCAGCCGTTATAAGCTGTGACCGTTTTCTAACGTTCACCGCGGACAGACTGTCACGCGCTCAGCCGCTGGCGCTAACGTCCACGTGAACAGCTGACTGCAATACGAGCATCACCGTAGGACTCCCTACGCGGTTTTTCATTCGGCCTTGGGG